TAGTTACTACACCCCAAATACACACTGGAGATACATCCATCGTCTGGAATGCTAGGAATGCTCCTGATCACCACACTAAACACAAAAGCTCCAGGGGCACCATCCTGTGACACCCAAGCCAGGAGAGATGCAGACACACACATACAGGACATACGAGAGAGGAGTGGAGGATAGCATGCTTGCTGTGCAAGCATGAGGAACATTAGATGCCCAGCTCCTTCCCATGGGAAAGCTGGGCAGACGAGGCAGCCATTCTTGCTACCACAGTGCTAGGAGGAAGGGATCAGGATCCCTGGAGCAATCTGGCAAGCTAGCCTAGCTGGGTCTAATTCAGAGAGCCGAGCTCAGTAAATCATCAACCTCTGGCCTCCTTGTGTGCAGACACGCACATGCATACTACACACAGAAGGGAGAAGGGAGAAATTATGGTCAGGCCTGACTGCGTATGTCTGTAATCCCAGCACTCTAGAGGTACACGCAAGATAATCAAAGTGTCAGCCCACAATTCAGAGGGAAACACTTTACCAATAAAACAAAATACAGTCAGGCACAATGCACACACCTTTAATCCCAGCACTCAGGAGACAAAGGCAGCAGATCTCTGTGAGTTCAGGGCCAGTCTGATCTACAAAGCAAATACCAAAATATCTATCCAGGGCTACATAGAGAGACCTTGTCTCACCCCTTACCCCCACAAAGAAAAATTGTAAACAAAGAATAGAAAAAGAGGAAAAAGAAAGTTAAGTTCTGCCGGGCGTTGGTGGCGCACGCCTTTAATCCCAGCACTAGGGAGGCAGAGGCAGGAGGATCTCTGTGATTTTGAGACTAGCCTGGTCTACAGAGTGAGTGCCAGGACAGCCTCCAAAGCCACAGAGAAACCCTGTCTCGAAAAACCAAAAAAAAAAAAAAAAAGAAAGGCTGGGTGGTGGTGGCGCACGCCTTTAATCCCAGCACTCGGGAGGCAGAGGCAGGCGGATCTCTGTGAGTTCGAGGCCAGGCTGGACCGACAGCCTCGAAAACAATACAGAGAAACCCTGTCTCGAAAAACCAAAAAAAAAAAAAAAGAAAAAAAGAAAAAGAAAAAAGAAAGTTAAGTTCTATACTGCAAGGAAAAGAAAAAAACAGGACCAAAGACTACATGAATGGATTTCATAAATATAGTGCTAGGCAAAACAAGAAATAAATAAACAAAAAAAGCAACAACAAAGACACACAAAGTAGATATTTTATGATTCTTTTTATTTTATGTGTATGAGTACATTGCCTGCATTTATGTCTGTGCACTACATGTGTATTTGGTGTCAGCAGAGGCCAAACCAGGGTATCAGAGCTCTTGGAAGTGGAGTAACAGAGTGTTGTGAGCCACCATGTGGTGCTGGGAACAGAACTCAGGTCCTCCGGAACAGCATCCAGGGCTCAAAATTGCTGAGCCATCTCTCCAGCCCTACGATTCCTTTGTATAAAGTTCAAAATCCCTAAAAATGACCAGAGTTACAGTAAGCAACACGTGAGAGTGGTCACTAAAGGTGACAGAGTTACAGTAAGAAACACGTGAGAGTGGTCACTAAGGATGACAGAGTTACAGTAAGAAACACGTGAGAGTGGTCACTAAAGGTGACAGAGTTACAGTAAGAAACACGTGAGAGTGGTCACTAAGGATGACCAGTTACAGTAAGAAACACGTAGAGAAGAGGGCGGAGTGAGCACAGGGTCTCACAGTCAGCGAGGCGCATTCTTGGACCACAGTGTTTTATTTACTCACTTGAGACAGTGGCTCACTATGCAGCACAGGCTGGCTTAGAATTACCACTCCCTGCCAGGCGGTGGTGACACACACCTTTAATCCCAGCACTCGGGAGGCAGAGGCAGGAGGATCTCTCTTGTGAGTTCCAGGTCAACCTGGTCTACAGGCTCCAAAACAATACAGAGAAACCCTGTCTCGAAAAATAAAATAAGAAAAAAGGACTTCCCTCCCACTTCTGTCTCCTGAGTGCTGGGATTACATGTGTGCATTAGTCACCCAGCTGAATCTAAATATATATACTGCAAGGACATTGACCTATTAATAGACTGAAGAGTTATGCTTAAAATGTGCTTCTATGCACACACAAACACACACACACACACACATACTTTTTCAGTGCTAGAGAAGGAATCTAGAGCCTCAAGCATTAGGGGAGACTGACCACAGAGCTACCCCCAAACACTGTCTACACATTTTTAAAGGGCTTATGTTACATGAATGCTTTGCCTACATGTATGTCTGTACACCATGTGAATACCTGACGTTGGATCCCTTGGAGTTACAGGCAGTCTGTGAGCCACCAAGTGGGTGCTGGAACTGAACCCAGGTACTCAGCAAGAGCGGCCAGTGCTTCTTTAACCTGACCATCTCCCCAGCCCCTTATTTTCCACACATTATTATCTGTGCACAGTGGACAGCACACGTCATGACATGTGTGTATGTGGAGAGTAAATTCTATGACCTTGGCTCTTTCCCTCCACCTTTACGTGGATAGCAGGTATTGGATAAGGTTGCCAGGCATATGCAGCAAGCATCAACACTATATGTTTTTACTTTTTTTAGTTTTTTTGAGACAGGGTTTTGCTGTGTAGCCCTGGATGTTCTAGAACTCACTTTGTAGATCCACTTGCCTCTGCCACTTGAGTAGTAAGATTAAAGGTGTGCCACCACTGCCCAGCCTAGATTTATTTTACTTTTTAAAAAAGATTTATTTTATTATGTATGCAATGTTCTGCCTGCATATATGCCTACACGCCAGAAGAGGGCACCAGATCTCATTACAGATGATTGTGAGCCACCATGTGGTTGCTGGGAATTGAACTCAAGACCTATGAAAGAGCAGTCAAGGCTCTTAACCTTTGAGCCATCTCTCCAGCCCTTAATTTGCTTTTTATTTATGCATGTAACTGTATGTATGAACCCATCCACAGGGACTGGAAGAGGGAATCAAGTCTCTCGGAGATGGAGTTACAGGCATTTATAAGTTGCCTGATATAAGCTCTTGTATCTGAACTCTGGCCCTCTGGTAGGGTAGTAAGTATCCTTAACCACTAGCCATCTCCACCTCTATAAATGGTTTTCTGAGACAAGATTTCATGTAGCCTAGGCTGACTTTGAGCTAACTGCTGTGGCTGAATCTGGCTTTGAATCTGATTCTCCTGTCTGTGCAAGGATCTAAGATGTGCACTAACATGTCCAGCTTGCATGTTGTATTTGAATCTTAGAATAAAGATTAGGAAAAAGACTATTGACAATATGGGTATTTTATTACCCTGAGGATTGTGTGACTGTGGTCAATGGAAATAAGAAAACAATGAGAAACTAAAAAGGAAGAGCTCTATCCATAGCGACACATGCATGCGGAGTCTTCAGAATGAAGACAGAAAAAAACAAGAAAGAGAAGGGGCTCCTAGTCCCATGCTGTGTGTACTTCCCCCAAGACTGAGAATGGAACCCAAGGTCTTGCACACTCAGCAAATGTTCTACCTCAGAATCATATATCCCATCCTAGACATAGGTTCTACAGAGAGTCTCCATATAAACAAGGTACTTTTCATGAAAACATGGACACCCAAATGAACCCAGGGGCAATGACTCAGACAGGCATGTGGCATAATTACATGTATAAATATACTGCTTACACACTGGTGGGGGGGGATAACTGATCATAGCAGGAGGCAATTAACTCTTTCGTTTTTAGGTCAGGGTCTTGCAAAGTGGCCATGGCTGGCCCTGGGATTCTCTGCCCCTCAGGTGCTGAGAGTAAAAGTGTATGCCACCACATCTGGCTGCAAATCCTTTCTTCAATGGTCTGATAACAAATGTTGTTTAGGGGGCTGGAGAGATGGCTCAGAGGTTAAGAGCACTGACTGCTCTTCCAGAGGTCCTGAGTTCAATTCCCAGCAACCACATGGTGGCTCACAACCATCCATAATGAAATCTGGTGCCCTCTTCTGATGTGTAGACATACATGGAGGCAGGATGTTGTATTCATAATAAATAAATAAAATCTTTAAAAACAAAACAAAACAAAAAAAAAAAAACAAATGTTGTTTAGGTTCTGTCAGCTGGGCTACATACTCCTTTCAGTCCACTCTGAGCTACAAAGAGAAACCTAGTCTGAAAAGCAAAATACAGGACCAGAGTGATGGCTTAGTGGCTAAGCCCACTTGATACTTTTCTGGAGGACTCAAGTTTGAGTCCCAGCACCCATACGGTAGCTCACAACTGTCTGTAATCCCAGCTCCAGGGGATCTGACACCCTCTTTTGGCCTCTGCAGGCATTGCATATGTGTGATATGCAGGCAAAACACATATACACATAAAATAAAAATTAATAATAAACAATTTTAAAACGTGGAGGGGCTGGAGAGGAGGCTGGGCAGTTAAAGAGTGCTCACTGCTCTTGCAGAGGATCCTGGTTTTATTTCCAAGACTTAGAGAGTGACTCACAGCCATCCACGACTCCAGTTCCAAAGCATCTGATGCCCTCTTCTGACCTTCCTGGCAATCAGTCACAGATATGGCTCACTGTGTACATGCCGGCAGAGCACCCATGATGGAAAACAACAAAAGAACTACGCTAAAAATCCAGGGGTGGGGCTTCCGCTCAGCCTGGCTGAAGAGCAACAGAGGAGTGAAGAACAAAGGAAGGCTTGCACAGCCCAGGACAGGACAGCTGAGGGGTTTCCAGCTGGGCCCCTTAAATTAACTTCTATACCATTAACAGGCGCAGTCAATGAAAGCAAGAAAATAGTGTCTTGCCAGGCGTTGGTGGCGCACGCCTTTAATCCCAGCGCTTGGGAGGCAGAGGCAGGCAGATCTCTGTGAGTTCGAGACCAGCCTGGTCTACAGAGCGAGTTCCAGGACAGCCTCCAAAGCAATGCAGAGAAACCCTGTCCTGAAAAACTAAAAAAAAAAAAAAAAAAAAAAAAAAAAAAAGGAAATGGTGTCTTCTGTTGTTTTTCCCACTTACCTCCTTGTTATCTGTCACAGGCACCCATTTGAATATCCTCAGGGATGTGTCACCCACAGTCACCCATTTCTTCTCCCTAGAAGATGAGCATTAATTAGAATAAAGCACATCTGTTGTTGTGGTTGCTAACTACACTTTCTTTCTGCTTCTCAACAGACTGTGCCTTTGATCTGGAATGCCTCTCTCCTTCTCTATCAAAGTACCAGAAGAGAGGGTAAAAGCTAGGAATGTCTGTGCACACTTTTAATCTTAGCACTTGGGAGGCTAGGGCAGGAGACTGCCACAAATTGGGGGTAGGGGAAGTGAAGTTAAAGGGTTTTTACTCTTTTGCTCTTTTTGAGGGGCCTACCACCCAGTTCCCAAGTTAATCACACTCAGAGGCTTATTCTGTGTTATAAATGCCGGGCCTTACTCTTACTCCATGAATTGCTGAATCGATGGCTGGTTGGGTGGCTGGGTGATTCCTAATGTCCTCCTCTACCTGCTCTCTGGCCGCTCCCCCTCCTCATTTCTCCTTCTCTGCCTGGCAGCCCCGCCCATCCTTGCTCCTGCCTCGCTATTGGCCGTTCAGCTCTTTATTAGGACCACCAGGTGTTTTAGACAGGCAACAAATAAAGAAAATGAAGCATAAAACAAAAGTCACACACCTGAAAATAATATTCTACCACGGAGGAGGCTTTGAAAGGTAGTGTTAAAGGGCTCACTTAACATGAACAAATCCTAATTCTGATCCCCAGTAAATAAAAGTCAATGGAGATAATTCCTACGCTTCTCAAAACTGATTTCGTTTATCTTCGACTTAAGGGCCCCCCAAGGATGAACAATTACGGGAAAGGAACAGGTAGTATTTGCATGCTGGGTAATCAAGACTACTCACAGCCAAAGGCTACACTAAGGAAATTTGCACATTTTCATCTTGAAGTTCAAAGCTTTGTAGCTACCCTTGTGAATCTGGACTGGGATTACAACACAGTGGGAGGCACCAGTCTAGCATTGCCAAGGCTCCATCCCCAGCATACAAGCAAAAACAACCCCACCCCATCTCTGTCCTAGTAAGGTAGAAAGGGCAGAATTATCACCATTCTAACAAAGCAAAGTCACCCTAAGTTCAACGATTAAGGTCTCACATGTCTCTAGATTCAATTGATCCAGGTAAACCAATCAGCTTCAGCGTTACTTCTGCTTGGGGTGATGGGAGAAGCAGGACTGGAGTCTAGGGCCTTGGCTATGCTAGGCAAGGACTCTACCATTAAGCAACCCCTAGTCACTCAAAATGCTTCTTTTGCATTTGTTTTGTTTCTGTGCGCTCGCGCGCACGCACACACGCACACACGCACGCGCACACACACACACACATACACACACACAGAGTGTGGCAGGGACTCTTAAATTGCCTAGGCTGCCTAAACTTGTGACCCTCTTGCCTCGGCTTCCGGACTAGCTGGGATCACACCCCTACAGCATCAGGCCCATTTCAAGCCTTTTTTCTTTTTTGTTTTGCACTGCTGGGGACCAATGGTAGTCAAGGACTCTACCACAGAGCTCTACCCCAGGCCTCAAACTAAGTACAGGATTCTTCATGAATTTGCATGTCATCCTTGAGCAGGGGCCATGCTAATCTATTTTGTATTATTCCAATTTTAGCATATGTATCTCTTTTTTACTATGTAGGAACTCGGAACACAAATCAGGTTATCTTCCTTGATCATTCTCCATTCTTATTAAGTCAGAACCTGGGGAGCTGGACAGTTAAGAGCACTTATTCCAACAGAGTACACAGGTTAAATTCCAAACACCCACATGGTGGCCCACAAGTGTCTGTAACTTTAGTTCCAGGGGATCTGATGCCCTCTTCTGGCCTGTTCAGTTATCAGGTACACACATGGTACACACACACTCATGCAGGCAAAACATGGTTGTAGGCTCTACCCCAGAAAGAGGGAATGGGGGCGGGCTCAAGGTGAAATGTCTTGCAGTTCAATCTAATACAATTAAGGAAAATTCTATGAAGGTGACCTGATCTAGAATCTCAAAATGTGGTTTAGAGGAACCAACACTAAAAACGCCTCTGAATATTTATTATTCTTTATGTGTGTGGGTGTTTTACATCCGTGTGTCTGTGCTTCATGCACACGCTATGCCCACACATGCTGACTGGGTGTAAGGTCCCTTGGGACTGGGGTTACAGTGGGTTATGAGCTGCCATGTGATGCTGAGGATGGAATGCAGGTCCTCTACAAGAGCAGCTGGTGCTTTTAACCACTGAAACATTTCTCCAGCATTCAAACTTAAAATAAAAAATAATAATAAATTTATTTATGTGCCTGTGTATCCGAGGGTGAGTTTATGCACTTTTGTGAGCAAGCCAGAAAAGGTATTACAGATGGTTATGAGCTGCCTGACAAGGTGCTGGGAGCCAAACTTGTATCTTTTGCAAGCATAGTATTCCAAACCAATAGTCCATCTCTTCAACCCAGACTTTTCAACAAAACTAAAGTTAACCAGGCACAGAGGAGGCCGGTTTATCATTTCCTTACCAGTAATTAAAAACGTAAAAAAAAGGGAAGGGGGATTAAGAATTACATAGGAAGGCTGATCAGTGGTTACTATTTCCTTTAATCATAGCACTTGGGAGGCAGAGGCAAGCTGATCTCTGAGTTCAAGGATAGCCTGACCTATGGGGCTAGTTCCAGGACTGCAACGGCTACACAGAGAAACCCTGTCTTGAGAAAAGGAGAAGAGGAGGAAGAGGAAGAGGAGGAAGACGACGAAGGAAGAAAGAAAGGAAGGAGGGAAGGGAGAGATGGAGAGGGAGGGAGGGAGGGAGAGAAGAGGAGGGGGAGGAGGAGGCGGAGGAAGGGGAGGAGGAGGAGGAATTTCATAGGAAACAGAGGAAAGCCATGCCATGCCATAAGGATTAAAAAATAATCTCGCCGGAAAGTGGTGGTGCATTCTTTTAATTCCAGTACTCGGGAGGCAAAGGCAGGAGGATTTCTGTGAGTTCGAAGCCAGCCTGGTCTACAAAGTAAATTCCAGTCCAACCAGGGCTGTTACACAAAGAAACCCTGTCTCGTAAAATCAAAAAACAATAGCGCTGGGCGTTGGTGGCGCACGCCTTTAATCCCAGCACTCGGGAGGCAGAGGCAGGCGGATCACTGTGAGTTCGAGACCAGCCTGGTCTACAGAGAGAGCTCCAGGACAGCCTCCAAAGCCATAGAGAAACCCTGTCTGGAAAAACCAAAAAAAAAAAAAAAAATAGCCTGTGTGCTGGCATGCGCCTTTAGATCCGGCACTAAGGAGGCAGGGGCAGGCCGATCTCTGAGTTCAAGTTCCAGTCTAAAAATCAGCAACAACAAAAAGTAACGAAATGACCAATCATTAAGTTAGGGGGAACAGGCTCAAACGGTTGGGTCACAACAGTTTAATGCAATGAGATCTTGAGCTAGGCTCAATCTGGTTTTGCAATAAACATGTGCAGGACCGCTAAGAGCAAATGTATCGAAAGTGCGCTGGCTGCGGGTCGCTGATCTACGGCTATGATGGGGTTTCTGTTCCGACAGTCACGTGTTTACAAACTCCTACTGAATTTCAATCACTTATCCCACGTAAGACTTGGCAACAACGGACATCACCAGGCAGTTGTGATGCGCAGGAGCGGAAGCTTAACCGGGAGCCGCCAGGGAGCCCTTCCGCGAGGTCCTGCAACCCGCAGGAAGTGCAGCTCCGCGTCGCCAGGTCCCGCCCAGCTCCAGCGGCCGGAAGCAAACAAATGAGAGCCGGTGGGCGGGGCCGCGGGGAGACAGTCCTTTTGATTGGCTACTGCGAGCGTGGACTCTGACTTCACGCCGACGCCGGCGAGCCCTCCTTTCGCTTTTTGACTCCGGCCCCCTCCCCCCAAGGGCCGGCCTCTTGGTTCCCACCCTGCCTGTACGTGTCTGGCGGTCGTCGGCGCAGGGTTTCCCGCAACCCCGCGTCGGCATTCCCTCCGCTCCCGCCCCTCACCATTTCCGCACTTTCTCGATGGCCGCCATCACCTTCTTGATGTCATCTTTGGCCCGGCTACGGGTCTCGGCCCGGACCGAACGGCCCGACATGGCGGCGGCGGGGAGTGGCTTGGGGCCAGGACACTGCTCCCTAGACGCGGGATATCACGCGCCTCACGCGTCGTCGTCCACCCGCCGCCGCCGCCGCCGCCGCCGCACGTCACCGCGACCGTCGCCCCCCCTCCGAGCGCGCGTGCGCGAGGAACCGCGCGCACCCGCCCGCCCCTTGGGCCCTGGAAGGTCTCAGCGCGCTTGCGCACCCCGCCCGGGGCGTCCCTGCTGTGCGCCTCGAGAGACCCTTGGGTTCCTCCTGGCCGCAGGCAGAGCTTAATGTAGCCCGCACGTGGTGTGTGCCAGGCGAGGCGGGGGTGGTGGTGGTGGTGGGATGAGATCTTAAAGTCACCGCTTTCCTAGTCTGCTGCTCAATAAACTTAAAAAAAAAAACCAAGATCATGATCATTATGTATGCCCTTGAACAGAGAGCCTCCTGCTTCTACCTCCTGAGTGCCGGTGTGTGCCACCACACCTGAGGAAAAGAAAGTTTAAGAGTATGTTTGGTACAGAGGACAATTTATGGGAGCGGGCTGTCCTGTGGGTGTCAGCTTGTCAGACTTTGTTGCCTTTAAGCACATTTACCCACTAATGTCGTCGTCCCCCCCCCCCGTCCTTCAAGGAACTGTTATGCTCTTCACAGAACCGCAGACCTGTGTCATCACTGTCCGGAACGTCTTTGCTCCTCAGGTAAAAATAGCTGTGTCCCAGAGTCAATTTCACACCTTTCTTCCTCTGGATTTCCCTTCGTTGTATTCATCTATTGATACCCATCTGGGATTTTTTTTTTTCTGATTGAATCGACTACTTTTCCAACATCCAGCACAAACTGCAGCTTTTCCTTAATATTCTGCACCTGACTCATACTTTGTTCTCTGTTGTCATGGAATTCTGCACTTCTGGATAAAGCAGTGCCTATTTTCTGTGCATTGGACCAACTACTGAGGTCCTAAGTGTTTCTTCTTTGGAAGAACTTCTGGGCCAGGGACTGTGGCAAGCATTTTTAATCCCAGCACTTGGTAGGCAGGAGCAGGCAGATGTCTGTGAGCTCAAGGCCAGCCTGGTCTGCATAGGGAGTTCTAGACAAGCCATGGCTATAGAAATAACAAACTTCCCATAGAGTAGAAAATTCAGGCTGGGAAGTGGTGGCACACACCTCTACTCCCAGCAGCTGGAGGCAGAGGCAGGAGAGTCTCTGTGAGTTCGAGGACAGCCTGGTCTACAGCATGAGTTCCAGGACAACCAGAGCTAAGAAAACACATTTCTGATACAGTGGAAGATGCAGACTGGCGAACAGGTATGTGAAAGGCAGTGCTAACAGAAACAACAAAGGAGGTGCACACATAGTTACTTACTGGAGTATAGAATTTTACCTGCAGTTCCAGGGAAATCAGGAGTTCAAGGCCATCCTCAGCTACATTGAGTTTGAGGCTAATTTGGGTTTCTTAAGACCCTGTCAAAGGAGAGGAGGATGAGAAATATCATTCAGAGTGTCCCCTCATAAACGTGTAGGTAACCCTGAACTTGACAAACTTCTCATTTATGATTGTCAGCCTCTCAGCTAATGAACACCATGGCTGGATAGTATGTGTTCATTGCTGGTAAGAGACTCCTGAAGAGCTCCTTCCTGCTAGGTGGATGAGCCTAAGTAGCAATGAGGGGAAAGGATTACTCTTGAAATAACTGGGTCAAAGGTGATAAACCAGTCTGTGGTGGCACAGAGCTTTAATCGGGAGGCAGAGGCAGGCGGATCTCTGTGAGTTCGAGACAAGCCTGGTCTACAAGAGCTAGTTCCAGGACAGCCTCCAATGCCACAGAGAAACCCTGTCTCGAAAAACCAAAGAAAACAAACAAAAAAGGTGATAAACCTGTTCCCCAAACCCAGCTTATTCATGGATACCCTCCTCCCAACCCAAAACAAGTACAAGGCCCAATACCTGACAGCTATGTCTAATGTCTCTTTTCCCCTACATCCAAGCCATTGCCAACAGGAACTTCCTTCTCTCTGCCCTCACGTTTCTCTACCATCTTCCTTTTAATTTTTTTTTTTTTTTTTGGTTTTTCGAGACAGGGTTTCTCTGTATTGTTTTGGAGGCTGTCCTGGAACTCACTTTGTAGACCAGGCTGGTCTCCAACTCACAGAGATCCACCAGCCTCTGCCTCCCGAGTGCTGGGATTAAAGGCATGCGCCACCAACGCCCAGCCCTTTTAAAATTTTTGTTAGTTTTTTGTTTTGTTTTTTTGTTTTGTTTTGTTTTTGGCTTTTTGAGACAGAGTTCCTCTGTAGCTTTGGAGGCTGTCCTGGAAGTCACCAGGCTGACCATAGATTGGCCTGTCTCTGCCTTCCAAGTGCTGGGATTAAAGATGTGAGCCACCACTGGCCGGCATTAGAAATATTTGTGTGTTTTAGGGTCTCCTCATGTAGCCTGGAACTGTATATTGTCCAACCTGAGCTACCGAGCAAGACCCATTCTCAAATAAACGGCATGGAGTGGCATAACTCTCTAATCCCAGCCCTTGGGAGATGGAGGCTAGATCAGAAATTCAAGGTCAAGCTAACCTCAGCTATGTTGTATTTTCAAGACTATCCTGGGCTCCATTAATACCTGGGTTTTGGGGAAAAAGGAAATGGTAGGCGTGGAAGCAGAGGAACGTTCAGTGGCATAGCCCTTGCTCAGAGCCATCCAGCAAAGTATGGGGTGTGGCTCAGTGGTAAAGCACCAGCTAAAATCAGGGCTGGGGACAAAGCTCAGCATCCGAGTATCACACATGCACAGGACCGCATACAAATAGACCCCTGAGACTTGTAAAGCCCCTGTTCTTCAGGGATCACTTTGTGGGTGGCAAAGTCGAAGTCTCTGTGGAGAAGCACTAGGAGCACCTGAGCTCACACTGGTTTTGGAGTTCGTGTGGGCCGCTTCAGCTCCGCAAGTCCCCATTTCTCCGTCTGCAGGGCAGTCTCAGATCTGTGCTACCTCAGAAAATAACACAGGGTAAAACTGAGCTATGATGGCACATGCCTGCAGTCTGAGGATTCAGGGGATTGAGGCAGGAGGATCTCAACTTCCAAGCCAGCCTAGGCCACACAGAAAAGAGAGGCTGTATGAGGTTATTTGCTGTGATGGTGCTGAACATGAAAACCCAGGGTCTTGCACACACAGACAAGTCCTTATTCACTGACGGACAGCCCTAGCCTTCGGACGTCAGCGGTGCTTCCAGTATGTTACTGATTTTAGCAGAAGGCATGCTTATTGTAGAAAATACACATAACACCGAAATAAAGCTTGATGTGTTGTTCCTAAGATGCTAGCGTCTGAAAAGGTGTTTTGGAAAGTGCCTATGCAAGTCACTCTCTGGAGCTCCAAACAGTCATCCAATACTCTCCCTTGGCATCAGGGCACCATAGGCACTATGTTTATGTTTACTGTGTTAAGCAACAAATATGAAATATCCAGGCTTGGAGGGTAACTCAGAAATAAGAGTGTAGTTTACCATAGTTTATCTGTACAATGTCTATCCCCAACACTCTCCCCCTCTCCCTCCTTCCCTCCCTCTCTCCCTCTCTCTCTCTCTCATATATGAAGTATCCAAAAGGAAGAAGGGAAGGCAGGCTGGTGAGACCGCTCAGTGGATAAAGGCACCAGTCAGACCATTACGTCAAAATCAAGTACGACTGGTGGACACCCAAAAATGTCTGACAACAAGGTGTCAAGAAGATCCTAGGGCCAGATCCTAAAATCCAACAATAGTTATGGGAGCAAGAAAACCAAGCACATGCTGCCCTATGGCATCCAGAAGTTCCTGGTCCACAGCATCAAGGAGCTGTTAGTGCTGAGTGTGCAGTCTTTCTCTTATGCTGAGTGCCTCCAAAGTTAAGATTAATGCGAATGCCTTGATCCATTGAGCTGTCTCACCAGCCCAAGTCTTTCCTTCCATTCAGCATGCCCTCATGTTGGCCATTCTAGGAGATCCAACATCCGTGGCAAAACAGCAATGCACATAATTTTTTTTCTTAAAGGTCTGAGTAGCCATGAATGACATGGAACTGGCTGTGTTGATCACACAAATCTTGAGAAAAAAACTTCTCCTGCCTCTGCCTCCCAAGTGCTAGGATTATAGGCATGCACCACCACAATGGCTAGAACAATTTTTTACATGAATACTTTTATTACCTGGACCCGTCACTAAGAATCTGCAGGCCTTTCTATTTACTTCTGTTTTCTCAATTTTAAATGACTGGTGAAAATAGGCTATCCACTGTCAGTTTTCTTTCCTTTAAAAATTATTTGTTTTATTGTTTTATGTGTTTTACCTGCCTGCATATACAGTCAACACATGAGTATCTGATGTCTGCCTAGGTCAGAAGACGGTGTTGGGAATCGAACCTAGGTCCACTGAAAGAACACGTCCTCTTAACTACTGAGCCAACTCTCCAGCCAGTCATTTTCTTTTAACTAACAATTTCATTTTAGTGTATGGATGTTTTGCCTACATGCATGTCTGTGCACCATGTGCATGCAATGCCTATGGAAGCCATTAGAGGGCATCGGATGTCCTGGACCTGGAGTTCTAGCTTTGAGGCACCATTGTGGGTGCTAGAAATTGACCCTGGGTCCTCTGGAAGAGTAGCCTCTTAACCACTTAGCCATATCTCCAGCCTTTCCATTAATTTAAAAAAATTTAGCCAGACAGTGGTGGCGCACACCCTTAATCACAGCACTTGGGAGGCAGAGGCAGGAGGATCTCTGTGAGTTCAAAGCCAGCCTGGTTTACAGAATAAGTTCCAGGACAGCCAGTGCTACACGGAGAAACCCGGTCTGGAAAAACAAAACAAAAAATAAATTATTGTGTATGCATGATACGGGCAGTCAAAGAACAGTCACTGCTCTCTCCATCTTCATTGGGACCTGGGATTGAACTCAGGTTACAGGCTTGTGTAGCAAGATTCTTTATCCACTGAACCATTCCTGCCTCAGCCTCCTAAGTGATGGGATTATCAGGTAAGTTACCACCATGTTCAGCTCCCCCCCAATTTTGAAAAATTAAAAGTCTTCAGAAGAAGTGTTAAATTTTGTGTTTTAGACAGCCTGTGTAGCATAGGGCCGACTTAATGGTTTTTCAATTTCAACCTGCCAAGTACTGGGTTACAAGCATGCATTACCACACCCTGTGTAAAATCAGTACATCAATGCTGCCTCCACTCTTGAGGATCATAAAAACTTGGCAGTCACTTTTCCTAGGGCAGTAAGAAAGGCACTGTTGTATCTCTGGGCAGTCTGTGCAATGACCTTTTGTAAGGCTCTCAGTTGTTAAGAAATTCACAGCTACCAGGCTCAAATAGGCAGGCCTGTCAGCCCTGCTACTCAAGAGGATAAAGTTAGAATATCTCAAGTTCAAAAGCAATTTACAAAGTAAAGGTAAAAAGAGCTGTGTGTAGCATGTCTTGAATCCTAGTACTCAACAAGCTGGGCAGGTGGATGTCTATGAATTCCAGGCCAGCCAAGGTTACAAAGTGAGACCGTCTCAAACACACACACACAAACACACACACTGGGTTTGGGGGAAAGACCACATATCTAATCCCCGTGTAATGAATCCACAAGGCAAGTTGGACAGGACATCATTTATTCCCATTTTACAGATGAGGAGACAAACTCAGACAGTCGCTGTGATCACCCCACTCCAGACTGATAGGGAACACACTGACTCCAGCGGCTCAGGATTCTTGGGTTCCCTACCTTCCCTCTGCAGCCACAACACCAGTTACTTCTCAAAACAGACATTCCAAATCAAGCAAGAGCCTTTTCAGATGCTTCTGACAGCCACAGCAGACGTCCGCCAGACCCCACAAGCATACACAGCACGAGGGAGGTGTGTTCGGAAACCCAAATCTGGGTGTGGCCACACTGCCCTCAGTAAGAGCGCACAAAAGAATGCCAGTTTTTTGTTTTGTTCTGGTCAATTACTTCTAGTCTGAGTTCTATTTATTGAGAGCTTACTCTGTCCCAGGTACTTGACTTGGGACCCAGAACAAGGCAGACAAGCAAGGGTTCCGCCCTGTGAAGCTCATGTCCTAATGCACTCTGCAGCAGCTCACACGCCAATGCTGGAACTCAGTGGCAGAGTGTTTGCCCAGTGAGGGCTGCAGCTACGGCTGAGCAGGAGAGCCTTTGCTGAGAGTCTCCCAGGGAAGGAGGAGCAGAGGCTGAGCAGGAGAGCCACTGTCTAGCATCTCCTAGTGAGGGCTGCAGCAGGGCTCAGCAGGGGAACAACTGTCTACCCTGCAGGAGGCTCTGGATTCCACCCCCAGGACTGCAAAATGAAAAGCAAGGAACAATTCTTAAGTGCCAACGAGACTGGTGAGCTGCCTACATCAGGGTTTGGTGCAGTTCCCAAGGGGGCCTCATTTCAAGGTAAGGTACCACCACTTCATTTCTCCGACACTGGTAACTTTTGGAGAATTCTTAAACAATCCGTAGCAGCCACCATTGTGCGTCCAGGACACATGCATTCCAGCCCACGACAGTCTCTACCATTTCCTCCCATCTCACAACTAGGTGACCTGCCTAATTCCCACTTTTGCTATGCAATTGACTGCCCTTGTCACTGGCACTGGAGCAAATACATAGCCAAACAAGATCATTTCAGAAACCATCAAGTCATACAAAAGAAAGAAAAGCACCAATGCAACCAATAGGACAGGATTGGTGGAAAGGGCTACTTCGGATGGAGTGTCTGAAGAGGCAACTGTTTGGAGGCAAAGTTGCCAAGGACTGAATCGCATTGACAAGTCTGCCAACAGAAAGGAAAAATGCTTGCAGCAAACAAGAGGGACAAGCCCATACCTGGAGCCTGTGAACTGCTTGGGTCAGCAAAGAAACAGCAAGAACGTGGTGGGTTGGACCATCACAAAGGAAGGCCACAAGAGGGGCTAAATATCACTCCACTATGCAGGCCACAGCCTATGAACTGCTTGGGTTAGTAAAGAAACAGGAAGAATGGGGTGGGCTGGTCCGTCCAAAGAAAGAACACAGGAGGGAGTAAATACCACTCCACTATGCAGGCCACAGCCTATGAGCTGCTTGGGTTAGTAAAGAAACAAGCTAGATCAAACACAGGAGGGAGTAAATATCCCTCCACTATGCAGGCCACAAAGATAGTTCAGGGTTTTAATCTAAGAGCAGAGGGAAGCCTTTGAAGAGTTTTTAACTGGGAAATGGCATGATCTGTTTTATGTTTTTCAAAAGCTGACTTGAAGTAATGTGGTTGGAAACAGAAGTAGTATATAGTAAGTGACAATGGCTAAGACCAGGAAGGTAGCAGAATGTACAAAAAGACAACAGGTGCTGCCAGTCATCAGGGTGAGAGGGGTGACAAGGGAGCCATCAAGGTCAACTTCAGGGCTGCGCCTTACTCTAACACTCTGTAGCTATGGGATGGCTGGAAGAGGGAGGGCCTACGTGTAAGCAAGAGATCAAAATTAACTGGGATGGATACTTTTTGCTAAATTCAGCCTTCCTAGATTCCTGACATCTTCTTCACCCCTTGGATCCAAGCAGTCTTCAAATTTATGTCTGAGATCCAATATTCCATTGGATGTACTCTGCTTCATCCCCATTCTGTCTTAAGTCCACTACTGTCAAGCCCCATGTTTAGATCCCCTGCAGCTGGGAATGAAGAAAAGCATTTCACAGACACCACTTTCTAGGTCCCTCCCACCAACTTTTACCTTTGGCAACAGGCCCAGTCTTGTCTAAATGTGTTAGCCAGCATCACTAGCTAGTTTCATGAAGCAGGCACTGAAGTGATGAGTCCAAGAGGTCTCCAGCAGAGAGGAGTGCCATGTTAAGATGGCACTACTTCTCAAGGCACTGAACCAAAACACCATATGCAACCAAGATGAATGAGCAAGCCAAGCCCCAAGAAACTTGGTTGCAGACCACAGTTTGATCCCAAGTTTACCTGACAGTTAATGGAGTTGGACAGCACTGTTTTACTCCATGGCCAGGAACTTTGGAACACGCTCTTAGCCTCACAGCATCTTTTCAAGAAGGCCACAGAGAGCATCGTTCCCCATTTTACAAATAAGAAAACTGAAGCCCAGAGCAAAAAAAAAAAAAAAAAATCTCTAGTCAAGGTCTCTCTCCATTTGGAACCCGGAGGTCCTGAAATTTACTATGTAGTTCAAGCTGAACTTGAACCCGATCCTCCTTCCTGTCTTTGCCTATATAGAGTGCTGAGATTATAGAACAGTGCCTTAATTATTTCTTGCAGGTAACAGGAATCTCGTCTAGGTGGAGACTCACCTTGTAGCATTAAAAAACACATTCTGCACCCTTATAAAACAGCCACCTTGTTCTCTGGTGGTCCTCAGGTTTTACCTTAACACTCACAAACTTCTTTGGGTGTCAGGGTCTTTTGCCACACAGTCAAAGGCTTTGTTCTGTCTCTCTTCTCTCTACCCCTCTTCTCAGTACTGGGTGAAGACAGAGTCCACCCTGGGGCCCATGAGAAAACAGCACCTTTCAGTTTGGGAGGAGTCAAACAAGAAGAGAGATCTAAGTATGCAAGAACAGTTTCAATGGGAAAAGTGGGGGCCACCAGGAAGAATATGGGAAGTTCCTCCAGAGCCACAGTCACTTCTTCAGGGCACCCAGGTTCTTTAGGGCCTCCTGGGCCTGGGCCAGCTGCTGCTGCAACCTCTGGCGTGTGCTCTCGCTGGATGCTCGCTTCAGGAGGCCCTGCATCTCCTCTACCACAGCCCGATGGCCAGGAGTGTTGTGGAAGAGCCGCACGGCACGGTCCCCACAGGAGGCCAGGAAGCGGCCAGTGATATCAAAAGTCAAGTCAGCAATACACTCCCCATGGACACACTCGAAGCACTCCTCCTTCTCCCCACGCCTCGTGTTGAAGAGATGAATACTGGTGCCAGTGGCCAGGGCCAGCACATGGGTGTCAGGGGAGAGTGCCAGGCGGCAAGGCATGGTGCTTGCCTCTTCAAAGCAGCCTGTCCTTAGCAAGTAGGGGTCCTGCTGCTTCTTGTATTCCACATCTGTGTCCCACAGCTTCCATGTGCCGTCCTTGGAGACAGAGGCCATCCTGCAATGTGAAAGATCATAGCTAGAATCCCAGTAACCCCAGCTTGGAAGGGACTGCAGCTAGGAAGCCAAGTCTGCATCTTGCCAAGAATCAAATCCTCCACCCATGTCAGACCTACAGCCCAGGCCTACTGCTCAGCTGGTTCACACCTATAACCCAGCACTAAGGGCTGAGGTAAGGGCAGGAGGATCAATGTGAGTTCAAGGCCAGCCTGAGCTACCAGGAGAGACCCTGTCTCAAAACCACAAGCAGAACAAAACAAAACAAAAAGATTGCCAGGCAAGGCAGTACACACCTATCTACATCTCAGGACTTGAGAGAGGCAGGTGGATCAGGACTTCAAGGTCAGACTTGGCTATCTGTATTAAAAAAGACTAACCAACCAAAAGAACAAAGGAAGAAAATGCACTCACCTCCGAGAGTCATTGGAGAAAGCGAAGGAGTGGACAGAGGCAGAGTGACCCTTCAGCTCAAAGGCTCTCTGCACCTCCTGGAACTCCCCTTTCTTCCCGAAGCAGACCTCCCAGACCTTCACATCTGGTGTGAAGCCACACGAACCCACAAACCTGTCACAGAACCCACACTCTTAAAGCTCAAATAGAGACATCTTGTTCCTAACAAATCTTAGACATCTCTCTTTCCTGACAAATAGTACTTTTTGGTGCTGCCAGGCATGGATCTAGGATCTTATACAGGGCTAGAGATCTACAGCTAGAGCTCCAGCCTAGGAACCTTTTTAAAGTTTTGTGCCAGGTATGGACAATCCCAGCTAGTCTGGAGGCTAAGGCAGGACCATCTCAAGTTCAATGCCTTCCTGAGCTAACAGAGTAGATGGGAAGGAAGTATGGAAAACTTAGCAGGATCTTGTCTCAAACTAAAATTAAAATAACAAGACTGGGTGTAGTGATGCCCACTTCTAACCCCAATGCTAGAGGCAAGAAGAGGTGGCTCTCTTGTGCACTTGAGACGACCCTGATTTATACAGTAAGTTCCAGGCTGGTAAAGACTCCTCACTAGATTCCGTCTCAGAACAAATAAAACCAAACAAACATTTTAAAAGGGCAGGCATGGTGGCACACGCGTTTAATCCAAGATCTCAGGAAGCTGAGGCAGGCAGATCTCAATGAGTTCCAGGCCAGCTGGTCTACATAATAAGTTCCAGAATAGCGATGGATATACAAAGAGTCCCAAAGCCAGTAACAAAACAAGTGAAATGAAGTCCCTAAATAAGTGAGGGCTTCCAATGGTGTGCAGTGGTTGAGTGTTTGCCTAGCATGTGCAATGCTCTGGCTTCCACCATCAGCACTGCAAAAATAAATACACCTTAGGTAAGAAATAGACACTAGAACTATGGGGGCTTGCAGGAAATCCTTCCACTGTTTGGAGAGGTACCACTGATAGCCAGATGTCCCCACCCACGCCTCAAAACCACCTCAGCTCTGTACCTGTTCTCTTCCTTACCTGCTACATGGGGAGATAACAGCGTAAGTATTATTCATCTGGTTGGTGTTGATTGTGTACAGCACCTGACCTTTCAGATTCCAGATAAGAACAGTCGTGTCACTGGAGGCAGTCATGATGAACTTCCCTGACGAAAAGAAAGTTGTAAGGCCAAAGCTATGACCAGACCAACTGTCACCTCTAAGTATGGCTCTTACTATATGGCTCTCATGGACTCGAGGGAAGCACAGGGTCACAGCTCCTCGGTCACATGGACGACAGGTAAACCTCAGGCACTGTCAACTCATTCAACAAATACAACTCAGAAGGCTGGCAAGACTGCTCAGTGGGTGGAGGTACTCGTCACCTAGCCTGATGATCTGAGTCAGCTCCCATGTGTTGAAATGACTGGGCTGACTTCTACAAGTTATCCTCTGACCCCCACATGTGCGCTCTTGCTCTCTCTCTCTCTGTCTCTGTCTCTCTCTCACACACACACAGTTAAAAGGGAGGGGGTGGAGAGATTGCTCAACAGTTAAGAACACTGGCTTAGTCTGCAGCTCACACTTGGCTGAACCTCTACTCCCAGGGTACCCACAGCCTTTCTGGCCTCTGTGAGCACGGCATGCAGGTGATGCACAGACATACACTCAGCAAAACACCCAACACATAAAAGAAAAATAGATAAATATTTACAGCAGACAAAACAAAGAACAAGTCATGACTCAGGCACTTTCTCATGCCTTCAGTGAGCTCCCTCCCTACCTGTGTCAGCAATGCCAATGTTGATGATGGATGCCTTGTGCTTTTTAGGGAAGTCCTCTGGGGTGGCTGTGAAAGTAAATCCCCCGTCTTCTTTCTTGGTCATCTTAAAGACACGGAGGGTGTCCCCATTGGCCAGCCAAACAATGAAGGCTCTAAGAGACAGCAAAAGAGAGGTCATTTCTTTTTTCTTTTTTTGGTTTTTAAAGACAGGGTTTTTCTGTATTGTTTTGGAAACTCGCTCTTGTAGACCAGGCTGGCCTCGAACTCACAAAGATCCGCCTGCCTCTGCCTCACAGGTGCTGGGATCAAAGGTGTGCGACACCAATGCCCGGCTGAGAGGTCATTTCTCTTTTTTTTTTTTAAGATCTATTTATTTAGTACATATATGCCTGCATGCCAGAAGAGGGCACCAGATCTCCTTATAGATAGTTGTGAGCCACCATGTGGTTGCTGGGATTTGAGTTCAGGACTTCTGGAAGAGAAGTCAGTGCTCTTTTTTTTTTTTTTTTTTTTTTTTTTGGTTTTTCGAGACAGGGTTTCTCTGTGGCTTTGGAGGCTGTCCTGGTACTAGCTCTTGTAGACCAGGCTGGCCTCGAACTCACAGAGATTCGCCTGCCTCTGCCTCCCAAGTGCTGGGATTAAAGGCATGCACCACCAACGCCCGGCCGAAGTCAGTGCTCTTAACCACTGAACCATCTCTCCAGCCCGAGAGGTCATTTTTTGAACCTGGACAAAAGCCTAAGTGTTCTGGATCCCAGGGAAAATCAAGATTATCCCTCTTGCTCTATGGTAGTGTCTTTTTTTTTTCCTCTTTACATACCAACCCCAGGTACCCCTCCCTCCCGGTTCTCAACCTCCCCAACTTCCCACCCATCTTACTATAGATCCCTTGATTCAAAATCTTTATTTTTTATTTTTTTGGTTTTTCGAGACAGGGTTTCTCTGTATTGTTTTGCAAAATATTTTTTTTTAACTTTAAAACTTTTCTTTGTCCACCACATACCTGATGCCCTTGGAGGTCAGAAGAGGACATTGGCTCCCCTTAGAGTAGAGTTATAGACAGTTGTGAACTGCCATGTGGGTGCTGGTAATTGAACGTGAGTCCTGTGTTAGAGCAGCTAGTATTCTAAACTCCTGAACCAGCCGCTCAAAATCTCATAAAAACCATTCAGAGGGTTAATGAGATGGCTCAGCAGATTAAAAAGCACTTGCTTGGCAAGGCTAATGTGACTTAACTCAGGAACCCATATAGTAGAAGGAAAAAACACAAACAAACAAAGAACAAAATACAGTAATTCAAGGACAGGATGTATCTCAGTAGTAGGCTCTGGGTTTGAGCCTTAGCACTAAAACATTAAAAACATTACAAAGTACCCCCCTAAATGGAAGAGGCTTTGAGACTCCTAAGGCCGCACCCAAGGTTATAGAAATAGTAAACAACAGCCGGGTGTTGGTGGCACGCGCCTTTAATCCCAGCACTCGGGAGGCAGAGGCAGGCGGATCTCTGTGAGTTCGAGGCCAGCCTGGTCTACAGAGTGAGTTCCAGGACAACAGCCTCCAAAACAATACAGAGAAACCCTGTCTCGAAAAACCAAAAAAAAAAAAAAAAAAAAGTAAACAAGTGCTGGGAAGAGAAGGATGCTGGATACACAACCCCAAGACACAGCTTTTGTGAGGCATGACCCACGATACAGAGGGGACGGCATTTTATGATTTGGCTCCCAAAGAGTAGTCCATTATTGTTGGTTTTTCAAGACATGGTTTCTTTTTTGTGGTTTTGGAGCCTATGCTGGAACTCACTCTGTAGACCAGGCTTGCCTCAAATCACAGAGATCCGCCTGCCTCTACCTCCCAAATGCTGGGATTAAAGGTGCGTACCACCATTGCCCAGCCAGTACTTTTAAACATCCTCTTACCCATATTCCTGTAAGCAACCCCAATAAACTCACTGGTTTCCAAAGCTACACACAGTGCAATCTCTCTTTGGTCTATTATTGATGCCCTATCTAGGTTACACGGACGTTTGCGGGCTGGAGAGATGGCTCAGTGGTTAAGAGCACTGGCTGTTCTTCCAGAGGACACTGGAAGGTCACTGCATGGCAGCTCACAATTGTCTGTAACTCCAGGATTTGACATCCTCAGACATGCATGCAAAGCACCAATGCAAATAAAGTAATTAAAAAAAAAAAACAAACGACTGCTCATATTTCCCTGAACAAAGGCACACAAGGCCATACTGAACCCCAGCTCTGCGGAGACTGAGGCACAAGTTCAAGGCCAAGCTGCATTATACAGTAATAACAATAAACAAGGCCCTGTGTCCTGTCTTAACCAACACACTAAAACACTAACAAAAACTCACAAGGCAAGAAAGGCTGAGGGTGTAGCCAGCATGTGTGATTCCCCAAGTTCAGAAAAGAGAAAAAAAGAAAAAAGGATCCTCCTAGTCATAAGAGTTTCTAAAATTCATGGCAAAGCTAGATTTTAGAACATCCAAAAGAATGACTTTCCCCTCTCTGCTTCCTTTTTATAGAGGCTGCAGGAGGTGCCCACACTATGTAGGTGCTCTCTTTATGTCATCCCAAGGCAGACTCTTGGTCCCTCCTCACTAACCCACTGGACTTGGGAAGGCCAAAGCTAGGAGCTGGGCTTTTGCAGGCAAGCCCGAGGCTCTGTCCTGTCCCACCTGCAGTCAGGACTGAAGCGCACCAAGGTGGCATGGTCCAGCTCCACATTGGCTCTCATGCTACGGTGTTCCCGCTGAAGGAAATCTTTGGTGCTCCAGATTCGGACAGTGCGGTCATCGGCACAGGTGGCCAGATACTTGCCATTGCTACTGAAGTCCATGCAAGATATGTTCCCACTATGGCTCTGAGGAAGAGAGTTCAAAAGGACAGATGAGACACTCTCCAGTGGGTTTCGAGGCTGAACCTAGTGGTCCTGGTGCCTGAATGACCAACAAGCCAAGGACAGAACAGAATAAACTAGCCCTGGTAGTTCTGTTCTATAATCCCAGCTACTCAGGAGGCTGAAGCAGTAGGATCTCAAGTTCAAGGCCTCCCTGGGCTACAGAGAAAATCTGAAGCCAGCCCAAGCAATTTGGTGAAACCATCTCAAAATTATAAGTATAAGAAAATAAACAGCGGGGTGTTGGTGGCATACGCCTTTAATCCCAGCAGATGGATCTCTGTGAGTTCAAGGCCAGCCTGGTCTACAAAGCAAGTTCCAGGACAGCCTCCAAGACAATACAGAGAAACCCTGTCTCAAAAAACCAAATAAATAAATAAATAAACAGTAGAAAGTAGGCTAGGATTTCAGCTCAGCAGTAGAGTAGCCTAGAGTTCCCCATAAGGTGCTCAGCTGAAGAGCACCTATGTAGAATCTGACAATCAAGGACTGGAAGTGTGTCTCAGTGACAGAGTGCTCATCTAACACGCATAAGAGCCTGGATCCAACCCTGGGTACTACGGGGAGGGGGGGAAGCAGAGAGGTCAGAATGGGGTATGTCTACTCTCTTGGTAAGCATTAGAGGCACATGTAATATGCACAGATTACTACAAAGGATAAAGTCTGTGGAGTTTGGGTCTTCATGTTCTCAGGCTGCATGTGTTCAGTACCCAGGAGTACCAAGTACCTTTAATGCTGCAGCCAGAAGGCGGTGGGTAAAGTTGTGTTGCTGAGGCTTCTCCTTGCGAACCTGCTGATTCTGTTTCTGCTTCTTGGATCCTGACTTCTTGGCTTCATTTGTTTTTTGCCCTAGAAGGAATGGTCATGTCATTTATCCATGCACTTACCTTACTGAGTACCTAGGACTTACCCAGGCTCCGGGTGGAGTACCAAGGCATGAGCCAGGTTTGGCCCTTGTCCTTGAGGAGAGAAAGTGATATGTGCAGAAAGAGGCTTGGGAGGTCTGGAGGATGCTTCAGTAGGTAAACTGCTTGCTCTCCAAGTGTGAGGAACTTGAGTTTGATACCTACAACCCACATAATGCCAGGTACAAAAAAAAAAAAAAAAAAAAAAAGCCAGGTGGTGGTGATGGCACACACCTTTAATTCCAGAACAGGAGGCAGAAGCAGGCAGATCTCTGTGAGTTCCAGACCAGCCTGGTCTACAGAGCAAATGCCAGGACAGCCTCCAAAGCCACGAGAAACCCTGTCTCAAACCAAAACAAGAACAAATGCCAGGTACAGCAGCATTTGGCACGCACTTATAACCTCAGCACTAAGGAGGTGGAGCCAGAAAGGTCTCTGGGGCTCTCTGGCCAGTCAGCCTGATCTAATAAGTTCCAATCAATATGAGAGAGACCCAATCTCAACAGAAGCAACCAGCATTCCTAATGATACACAAGGCTGTTCTCTGATTTCCATGTGCACAAGATGTATGTCCATTTCCCCACCCACAGGGACATTTAAAAAACAGGACGGGGGCCAGGGATATAACTTAATGGTAGAGGACTTGCCTAGCATATACAAGGTCTCAAGTTCAATGACCAGATATATTAAAAACAAACAAACAAATGGAGCTGGAGAGATGGCTCACTAGTTAAAAGCACATACTGCAAGGTGGCACACGCTTTTATTCCCAGCACTTTGGAGGCAGAGGCAAGCGGATCTCTGTGAGTTCAGGGCCACCTTGGTCTCCAGAACGAGTTCCAGGACAGCTTCCAAGGCAATACAGAGAGAAACCCTGTCTGGAAAAAAATCAAAAAATAAGAAAAATTTAAAAAAGCATATACTGCTCTTTCAGAGAACCAGAGTTTACCTCCTGACACTCAAATCAGGTGGCTCACAACCAACTATAACTCTAGTTCCAGACAGTATGGCACCTTTGGCCTCCAGGGACACCCGCACAAACATTGACAAACCAACAGGCACATGTACATAATTTTAAAAATGTTTAAGCTTTTTTTTTTTAATTAGAAAGGCTTAGAAATCAGACCTGAGTTCAATTCGGTCTTCATCACTGAGTGATCTTTTTTCTGTTTTTAAAGCCACACTGAGGACTGAAACTATAGTCCCATGCATGCCAAGGATACACACTCTACATCCCCAGGCCTCAAAGTCATCTTGCAGAGGCTGCTTGCTGAGTCTGTACAACTGGCCCTGAGCTGACACAGCTGGGTGGGCTCTTGGCCAGTGTAGTGCAGTGTGGATTCTAGTCCCGCATCCCAATGTGGGCAACAACACACAAGAAAGCCTGAAGAATCTCATTTTGGGGAAGTTATTTAATTGAAACCAGGCCTGGTGGTCTATGCCTACAATTCTAGCACTCAGGAGGTGGAAGCAGGAACACTAGGAGGTCAAAGTTGGACTTGGCTACATAGTGAGTACAAGGCCAATCTGGACTTCCCTTTCTTAAAGCAAAAAACAACCAAGCAAAAACACCGAAGTCTGAGAATTGAATGAGACAATATAATCAAGTTACAAGCCAGAAGTGCTCCTACAATGATGAGAAAGTACAAGAGAAGCCATGTGCAGTCAGTGTCACACGCCGGTAATCCCAGTAAGAGCGTGGGGCAGGAGGATTACAAGGATTGCTACGTAGTGATAACCTGTAATTAAATCAACCATTAGTTTATCTGACAGAAATAAAGTTCAGGGCAGGGGTGGGCTGGAGACATGTCTCAACTTGGTAAGCCATAGTAAGCCTGAGTTCAAATCCACACAGTGGAAGAGAACTGACTACCAAGAGAGAGTTGTCCTCCAACCTCCACACAGGCACGGTGACACACAAAATGAGATGCCCCCTAGTTCTATGAGGAACTACAACCTAATGGACTTGACTTGCTACATACAATGGGCCTCTACTATCCATGTTGACCTCTGGAACCACCGAGATGCTGGTCTTTTGTGAGTACTGGGATAAAATGTAGCACCTTAGGTATCATAGGAAGACTGAGCTGTGCTCCTGGCCTCTCAGAGTGGGATCCTAGGTCTAAGGCTGAGTCACGTGCCCAGCCTCTAGATGTTGTTTTGGAATCCCTGCCTTGTTGGGTTTGGACACTATCTTTCTTCTTTGGCCATCCTTGAGCTCATCACAGGTGGAGGTAGGGTGGGGGCGGGGCGGGGTGTAGCTCAGGGATAGTCACTTGGGTTTCACCTGTGCATCCCAATGCTCTCGAGACTGAGGCAGAAGAATCCCAGAGTTGAAGGCCAGTCTGGACTACAATGAACCTGTATCAAAACAAAAGAACCCACCGCAATGGGTTCCAGATCCCCGACTTCCATTCCCTGAAAAAAAAAAAAAAAAGCAGGACCACCCTTGTTCCCTTTATAGTATTGACTCTCCTGTGGAATTTAATAATTGTATTATTTCGCTGGCATTTTCAGATGCTTACAATTCAGATCTACAGTGTAGATGGGCACTTTTACATGCTTCTAATTTACTGAACGAATTAAAAAGAGCTTATCAATAGTTCAGCCACCGTTCCTGCAGGTCAGAGTTGGCCGAAGAGTATTTCCAAATGACCCCACTTTCCAACTACGTGACCACATAGCAAACTTCGGGACTTAGCTAAACTAAGTTTTCGTAGCAGCCCCGGGGGCGGGGAGGGTGTGGTGGGTGTCCCAGGAAAAAGTCACCTACAACCTAGGGCCGTAGCACCCAGGTTCCAAGAGTCCGGCCCCTGGAGGGTAACCAACCCCGAAAGGGCGAGCCGCTGTCTGCACGGGAGGTTTATCTCACAACCGGGGAGAATGAGGTTCGTTGAGTCTCCGGGCTCCTCAGACCACGCGGCGGCCGGGATCAAAGTCCCCCCCGGAGTCACCGCCACCCGGGTCCGGTATACTTACGGACGGGCTGGCTAGTTTTGTCCTCCTCGGCCCGCAGCCAGCCTCGGGCCACCGCCGCCGTGGCCACTAGGGCCAGCAGTCCCACCAGCAGGGACAGCCCCACGAGCTCCGGCATCTGCGGCAGCTCCATGTCTGCAGGACCGCGGCTGCCACCTCAGCCTACGACGCCGGCGTCCTCACGTCTCGGCGCACGAGGGGCGGGGGAGGACAGTTGGCGCGCCTCGAGGGGCGGGACCAGCCGGTGTGGAGCTCCTTGGGGCGTGGCCTGGTCCAAAGCGTGCCTCTGGGGGCGGGGCCCAACCCAGACAGTGTCCTATGAGAAGGAACCTGGCGGTTGGCGCGCTCGGCGGGGCGGAGCTTGGCCGCGTGCGCGCCTCGAGGGCGGGGCCAGGCCGTTAGCCGGTTCTGTGAGGCGGGGCCGGGCGGTTGGAGCGCTCTGTAGGGCGGAGCCTGACTGCTTGCGCTGCCCGAGGTGCTGGGCCCGGCCGCCGGAGCGCTCTGTAGGGCGGAGCCTGTCCGTTGGCGCGCTTCGACGGGCCGGGCCTAATTGTGGGGCAGAGCTTGACCTTTGAAACGTCCTGACCGTTTTAGTGTCTTGGTGGTCTGAGTGTTAGGAGGAGTACGGCCTGGCCGTTAGCTCGCCCTGAGGGGCGGGGCCTCGCCCGTTTAAGTGAACCGCTTCGTGCGCCTTGAGGGGCGTGGCTTGGAGGGATTGACAAGAGGAGGCAGCACCTAGCCATTGGACAGTCTTTGAGGGGCGGAGCCTGACGGTTAACTGATTGGATCGAAGCTGGGTCTGACAGTTTACTTCGGCACACAGACTCCACGCTCTCTCCGCCTTTTGATCCTTTATTAAAAGCATCGTGGCCATTCTGGATCCTTCCAAGGGACAGGGCAGAGGCTCTTACTCCCACTTTACCTATGCTGCTGCCGGGGAAGAGAAATGCCCTACCGATGGTGTGGAACAGCCCCGCAGAGACCTGGACAGCAAGTGTGTTGTGCAGAGACAATGGCATGAGCATTAGAAAAGAAAAGGCTAGTAAGGTCGGAAGTACCCGGAGACCCTGGAGCGCTGGCTTCATTCCAGCTGGTTATTACCGGAGGGCACGGAGCAAAATCCATTCACTGCGTGTTTTGCACTAACACCGAAGTTAGAAAGCAAGCCAAGTGATAAGCTTAATGGTAGAGGACTTGCCTGGCTTGTACAAGCCCTGGGTTCGATTCCCACCACTGAAAAAGAATAAACAAAACCAAAACGTTGGGGCTGGGGATGTAGCTCCGTCTGTTGGCTGGGTGTTTCCCGAGCTTGTAGGAAGCTGAGTTCTTCAGCACCCCACGAGCCTGTAATCCCACACTAGGGAGCTGGAGGCAGGAAGACCTGAAATTCAAGGTCTTCTTAGTGAGTTCCAGGGCATCTTGAGTTAAAAAAAAAAAAGAGCTGGGCATTGGTGGCGCATGCCTTTAATCCCAGCACTCGGGAGGCAGAGGCAGGCAGATCTCTGTGAGTTCGAGGCCAGCCTGGTCTACAGAGTGAGTTCCAGGACAGCATCTAAAACAGTACAGAGAAACCCTGTCTCGAGGAAAAAAAGAAAAAAAGAAAGCCAACTGGAAGTCCTTGCAAAAAATCCTCCAGGGAGGCGATAAATGTCTGAATTTGGGTGTAGCCTGCAGAATGGAAAGAAAGTTGAAAAGGAGGTACTAATCTAATATGATGATGATAATGATGTTTGTTTTGTTTTAGACAGGGTTTCCGTGTGTAACAGCTCTAGTTGTCCTGGAACTCACTTTGCAGACCAGGCTGGCCTTGAACTCACAGAGCACAACGGGATCAAGGGTTTGTGCCCCCACTACATGGCTAATTTACTAGTATTACTTGGCCATGCTAGAGATCGGATCTGGAACATTCACTATGCTAAACAGCTCTGCACCTGAAGCTGCTACCTAGTCCCTAGAAGAGAGATTCTTTTCTTTTTTTGCGGGGGTGGGGGGGTGGGGGTCTAGTCATGATGGCATATTCCTTTAATTCCAGCAATTGCAAAGAAGCAAGTGGATTTCTCTTGAGTTCAAAGACAGCCTGGTCTATTCAACAAGCTTCAGGCCAGAGAATGCTGCATAGTAAGATTCTTTTTTTTTTTTTAAGATTTATTTATTTATTACATATACAGTGTTCTGCCTACATGCCAGAAGAGGGCACCAGACTGAATTGTAGATGGCTGTGAGCCACCATGTGGCTGCTGGGAATTGAACTCAGTACCTCTGGAAGAGCAGTCAGAGCTCTTAACCTCTGAGCCATCCCTCCAGCCCGCATAGTAAGATTCTTGACTCAAAAATTTTTTTTTGCTGTGAGTTCGAGGCCATCCTGGTCTACAAAGCGAGTTCCAGGAAAGCCTCCAAAACAATGCAGAGAAACCGTGTCTCGAAAAACCAAAAAAATGTTTTTTTGCATTATGTATGTGTGTGTGTCATACATGGGTGTTTGTGTGTACGTGTTTGAGTGCATGTGTGTGCATGTGTGTGAAGGCCAAATGTTGATGTCTGTTGATTTCCATGATTGCCCTCCACCTCATATACCCAGTACTGGAGCAGGGTAGATCTGGAGCGTGCACTTTTGGCCATTCCGACTAAATCAATTTACTCCAAGCATTCTCTGTCTGGGATTACAGACACCATGACATGACACACCCACCCAGTGTTTAAGTCGGTTTCTGATAGCCTAAACTCCAATCCTCATACAAGACAAATGCTTTACCCACTAAATCTTCTCCTCTTAACCTCTGAGCCATCTCTTCAGCCCCGCACTAAGTCTTCTCCTCGGCTGGAAAAGATCTCTGTTGTTTCCTAAAGCAGGGTCTCAATATTGCAGCCCAGACTGGCCTTAAATTTATGGCAATCCTCCTGCCTTCTGAATACTTGGATTACAGGAATTTTCTGGTTTGGTGTTAATCTAGGAGTGGCAGGACAGGGTCACTGTGTTATCCTAGATGGCCTGGAATTCTCTTTGTAGGTCTGGCTGGCCTTGAAGAATCAATTCTTCTGCTTCATTCTCCCAAGTACTGTGAATATAGGCAAATTGGGTGTTGTTATTTTGTTTTGGTTTTTTGTTTGTTTGTTTTTTGATGCAGGGTTTCTCTTTGTAACACTCCCGGCTGTGCAGGAACTCATTGGCTTTGAACTCACTGAGCTCCTCCTGCCTCTGCCTCCCAAATGCTGTGATTAAAGGTGTGCGCCACCACTACCCAGCTAAGTGCATTGTTTAAAAACTAATTTTTTTGAAAAATAATTACAGGCCCTAGTGGTGGCGTACCCCTTTAGTCCCAGCACTCAGGGAGGCAAAGGCAGGCTGATCTCTGTGAGTTCGAGGCCAGCCTGGTCTACAAGAGCTAGTTCCAGGACAGCCTCCAAAGTCACAGAGAAACCCTGTCTCGAAAAACCAAAAAGAAAAAGAATTACAGGGCCCAAGAGATGACTCAGAAGTTAAGAGCACTTGACTGTTCCTCCAAAGATCCTGCATTCAATTTCCAGCAATCACATGGTGGCTCACAACCATATGTAATGAGATCTGGTGCCCTCTTCTGGCCTGCAGGCATACATGCAGGCAGAACACTGTATGCATAAAAAATACATTAAAAAAGAAAAGGTAGAGAACAATGAGTAGTGCAGTCTTACGGACATTTCCACTAATTTCCTTCAGATATAATCAGGAATTTGGCATTGCTATAAGCTGCAGGTTTTACCAAAAACCAGACATATCCTGAAAGATAACATTTGGATTAGAACTGCTTCATTGGGGGAAAATGTTCCTAGAACTGGCACGCCACAGCGAGCTTTGGCGCTCCAAGATGGGTCTTCACTAATGTGCCTGGCCTCACAGTTTCAGCCCTGCTGCCCTGGTCACAAGGACCCTCGAAAGTCACAGGCAAAGACAGAAGCCGAGAGACATAGACAGACAGACAGACACAGAGGTTATCTTCAGTGAGGAACTTCGTTCAGTCAGGGGGGGGGGGCTCATTTCCTTCCCTTTGCCCTTTTCAGGGAACTGGCATCAATTCAGCCCAGGGCAGTGGGGTGGGGAGTGCTGGTCTCTGCCATCTACAAAGAAAGCTGTCTGGGTTTTGGTTTGTTTGTTATGCCGGCTACTTTTTTGTCAATGTGGCACAAACAAGTCACCTGGGAAGAGGGTGACTAATTGAGGAACTGACTCCATCAGACTACCCCGTAGGTGTGCTAGTGGGGCCTTTTCTTGAGGCGTGGCTGGGGTGGGTGGGCAGTTGGGTCCAGCCCTGAGCATATGGGTCTGGGCTGTATAATAAAGGTAGCTGAAGAAGGCAATAAGCAGCGACCCTCCGTGGCTTTGCTTCAGACCCAGCTCCCAGAGTTCCTGCCTTGGCTCACCTCAGTGACCACTGGGACATGGACGTACAAACCACGTAAACCCTTCTTCCTCAAAGTTGCTTTTGGTCTTTGTTTTATCAAGCAATAGAGAGGCAAACTAGGATGTTTGTTTGGTCTGATTCTCTGAGACAGGATCTCAATATGAGAAAACTCAGGAAAGCCTAGGCTGGCCTCAAACTCATGACCATGCTGGAGTCACAAGCATCACTAACACTGCTAGTTGGGAAGGGTTTATTTTTGTCTGCTTTTGTTTTGATTTCTTTTTTGGTGACATTGTTTTTTTTTAACTATTTACTTATTTTATGTATATGAGTGAACCTGTCTTCAGGCACACAAGAGGGAATCAGATCCCATTACAGATAGTCGTGAGTCACCATGTGGTTGCTGGGAATTGAACTCAGGACCTCTGGAAGAGCAACCACTGCTCTTAACCACTGAGCCACCTCTCCAGCCCTTTGTTTTGATTTTTGTGACAGGGTTTCTCTATGTAGTCCCGCTCTCCTGGAATTCACTCTGTAGACCAGGCTGGCCTCAAACTCACAGATCTGCCAGCCTCTGCCTCCCAAGTGCTGGGATTATATTGTCTGGCTGAAGTTTCACTTTAAAGAAGCATTTCAGGGCCGCTGGGGCAATCAATGGTCCGGGCAGTGAAGTATCCAGTGAATGAAACGAATCTGGTGTGTGTGTGTGTGTGTGTGTTGTACGCACATGTCCATGTGGTTTTGTGCACATTTGTATAGGTGCATGTACAGGCAAGAAGTTGACATCAGGTGTCTTTCTTGGTCAATCTCCAACTTCCCCTAGGTCACAATTTCAGTGAAGTTTTTATTAGTA